GAAAGGGAACAGACTAATTTGAAGATGTGCCAAACAGTCAATAGCAACCCATCCCACTAGACACCTCTACATTCTTTTCGATTCCATAGCTAATGCAGCAAAACTGAATAAGCTTTAAGCAAGAGGAGTGGGAGATCACGCATGCTTAACGTTAGCAGTGTATAGATGAATCATAGTAGGAATAGAAGGCGCTCTGTTGCGTTCGACAGAGACATTTTTTGCTCAATAGAGACAGCAGACAGCCGGAGAAGTGAAAGAGCGCTCGATCAGCGAGACGCCGACAGCGTCCGTAGTGATGCTCTGTCCCTGCGAGCGATGAACAGTCTATACACGTCAATCACACTCGCTACATGTATGCTTATGAGCATGAGAAAAAAAATAGAGCGTTCCACAGACTTTCTTCTTGAAAAACCACATAAAATCCACCGACTTTCTTACAATACTTTCTAACAATAAAAAACAAGCGGAGGTAGGTAAAGGAAAAGGTGAATTTCTAACCAACTATAGCATATTTCAGTGGCTTGACTTCATGTTCACTGCTTAGATGAGCTTCCAGATCTTCCTGGATTGCTTCAGCAATGAGAGAGTGCACTGCCCTAAATGATGTTTATCTGACACAAGATAATGCACACAACGTGCTACTGCTGACAACCACAGTCACGGTTTCATCTTCCTGTACGAGGACACCTTTATGATATAGATTACAGAATATGCAACAATCAATGGATGAAAGCCAAACATGCACCCAGAAAGCACAAGTTCTAGACTTTTGTCAAGACTTGAGTACGAAAAAAAAGGAAATTGATATAAGCTAACACTGGCTCAACAATAGAATGTTACCTTGTGTGTGGTCCAATTTCCAATCCTCCACTCGACATATCGTATGCTTTTCGCCTTTTTAGTAACAGTTAACCAATTCTGGTCCAACTCCTAAGATAAGAACTTTAAGTCCGACAGAAAAAAAAGATACACTATCTCAAGCCTTACCAAAACGTTATGGATGAGAGCTTGGTATGTCCTTGTATGATGCAGCATGGTTGCAAGATCAGCTGACCTGAAAAGGCACATAGGCTGCGTTCATATATCAAGGAGAAGTCAGCATAAAGAGCCCCTAAACAAACAAAAAAACAAGAAATCGAACAAACCTGTCAGCTGTAAAGAGAAGAGGTCGACTAGCATTCAAGTGTCCAGCGCGAACACTTCAACAGTAAAGAGGTCATTGCGAGCATTTCTTAGGTTGTCCCGCAGTTTTTGGTCCAATCGCTGAAAAACACTTTTCGAGGTAACGAGCTGATGATTATTACTGCAAAAGTCAGACAGTATGTAATCAATATGATAATAATTTCCTAACAAAAAAGCATTATTACCTTGGCCACTGCTCGACAGCGTTAGCTTTGGGATACCTGATGATTGGTACAATCCCCATGGTAGCACAAAGAGATAATAATCCGTCAGCAACACTCTCGATGAGAGCGGCCATTTGATCATTAGGGGTCGATGGATTGTTGATTGCTGTAAAAAGCCGTATAAAGCTGACAATCTAATCTCAGTGTCATATTGAAATCTAGGTAACGATGGTTGCCGACAAAAAGACAAGCTCACATGGAATGCTTTCAATCGAAGTGGCCTTTCTGCATGAGACCTATATCACTTTGTA